GAATTTTCAAGTTACACCAGCCGCGAGGGTTCCAGGAGGCAGAGATAAAATAGTAAGGGTGCAGGCGAGCTGATGGATGTTAACCATGTTGAATATACCTGAGACTGGGGTAGAAAAGAACATAAAAGTCGAAGAAACAGAAAGGAACGGGACGAAGTCTCAAACTCAGCTACCAGGTTTATTTAGTCCTCCTCCTTATTTAGTCGTCCTCCTTAGATTGCTGAGTTATCTTTGTGAATCGGCATGAAGGCCGTCCATAGCGCTACTTTGGGAATTATAGGGTTTGGTGCTTGTGCTGTTTAGAGGTTGTCCCTTTGTGTTGGTAGTGACTGTCTGGAGGGTTTGGCGTTTGAACTGGTTAGAGTTGCCCCTTTGTGTTGGTGGTGGGCTATATAAGGAGGAGGACTAAATAAACATGGTAGCTGAGTTTGAGACGTCGTCCTGTCCCTTTCTGTTTCTTCGACTTTTATGTTCTTTTCTACCTCAGTCTCGGGTATATTCAACATGGTTTCCAGGAGGCGAATCTCTACTGGCAAAAATGAAAAATCCCTATATTTCCCTAACCGCGTACGTCACCGGCGGGCAGGCGGACGTGCGACTCGGGCAGCCGCGAGGTGGATTTCCGGGCGCCAGCGATCAAGATCATTTTTTCACAGCTTCGAGATATAAATTATTTGCAATAGGTAGCAATCTTTGCTCCGTGGTAGATCGTACGAACAGGGCCGGAAAAAAGCTTATTTTTTCAAATCTTCTTTTTAGGGGTGTAAAAAAAAAGATAAAAAGACGCTTCCCGGCTGCAATGGAGGCCAGCCACGTCAAAGTTCTTCTGAGCCAGCTGTGTGCCGAGGGAACTAGTGTCACGTGAAATAGTCTGAGAACTCCTTGGGGAAAGCGCAAGACGGACCAGAGGGTCAAGCGAGAACAGAAGGCGAGAAGAAGTAAGAACAGAGGGCGGCTTTCCCGGGTTTTTATTTGCTTTCGTTTTTCCAAACCTTTAAGCTCTAGAGCCGTGCGGGCTGGGGGGCTCCCCACCCTCGAAGGAAGTGAATCTCTATCTCCGTGAGTGAAAGGAAAGGGCTGGAGAAGTTTGTTGTCCCTGACTTGAAGCTTACGAATTCTATTCTTTGTCTTCGAATCGAGATTTTTGTCCCCCTATGATTGTTGTTTGAGTGAAATCGGGTGTGATAGAGGGGCAGTTTTTTTTTTTTGCATCGACAACAACTGGATGCACAGAATCCTAGGGCGGGCTCGTGATTTCCCTCGCGTGTACAGGTGCTTCGGCCTCTTGTGTGTCTCTGTTGTTTTGAGTCAATTTAGTGGCAAAGTTGTCCGCTAAACTCAGCGGATAAATTTTTCCGGCTAATTTCGCGCGAAAATTTTCCTGATAAATTTAGCGGGGAAATCTTTCCGCCATATTTAGCGGCGAAATTACCCCCCCCCCCCCTAATTTTATTTCGGGGGGGGGGGGGTATTTACCGCCAGATTGTCCCACAATTTCCCTGTGATCTCCCCTCCGTACCCTTCTCTTGCCTCCGTACCCTTCCCTGCTCCTCCTAAAGATCTGCGCTCTAATTTGGCATTACAGAGGATTCCAGGCGTCTTTAATTGTTCTGCTGCCAATTCTTAATTTGACGTTGACTAGCGCCACTGGGTTCGTTATTTTCGGTCTTCTATTTTTGGCTCGCGCCGGCCATCTGGCAGTGAGCGGTGTAACCCAGTTCTTTTTCACGGAAATAACGTGACTTTTTACATTTCCGAAACTAGGCTGACATCTAGAGGCATATAAAGTGCATTAAAACAGAAGCAGTATATTCCAAAGTTGAGGAAAACGAGAGATGTAGGTATCATAGCTGACAGCTTCGGAAGAAGATGCTGTAGTTTTCCTCAGAAAGGACGAATCTCCTTTAAGAAAAGACTAGCAGTCTAAGACAAACCATAGCCTAGTTTTTATGTTGCGCAACAAATAGCCACTGGAAATTCGGATCTATGACAATTATTCAAAAAGTTTAGTAGACGATTGTCGGTAATCGTATTTTTAGAGCGCAGCTCTTAGGCGCCCGTTTCCGGCTTGAGCGGCGTCGGCGTCGCCGCCGGCGCCAGCGTAACCACGTGACCCCCCCAGGTCACGTGACCTAGGGGGGTCATGTGGCCCTGAGGTCACGTGACCGCCTGAGGGCACGTGATTCCCCTGAGGTCACGTGACCCCGTGAGGTCACGTGACCGCCTGACGTCACGCGACCCTTCCTTAGGTCACGTGACCTTAAGGAGTCACCTATCCCTCAGTACACTTCCATCCTCCTCCTCAAGAGCTGCGCCCCAACCGGCGTTTCAGGGAATTGAAAACGGCTTTCATATTTTTTGTGATGATCACATCACTATCGTAGTCACAGGCGTTATCTACAAGATAGGCTTTTTATACCTAAGTTAGGTTAAAAATATTTAACTAAGAAAACAATACCAATTTCGGAAAAAAAATAAACCTCCACTGCGACTACTGTGAATTATCTATCATGACAGAACCCAAAGTAGAGCAACTATTTATATAGCCCTGTCTCAAATGTTATCGATGGGAGCAAATTAAAACGCGATATCAAATAAACTTAAGTAAAAAAAGATTTGTGCTGATCGTTCAGTTGTAATACAATAGTGAACTGAAAAGCAATACCTGTCATCCTCGTAGTGTTGGAAGTAACGCGTTTCAAGTATCATCGTTGCTGGTAACGCGCTGCTTTTTCCGTAATGCACTAACGTACTCGTTAGTTTTCTAATTGGCCAACGAGTAACATATTTGCGTTACTACTTTGACGTATCATCTTTTAAATTACGCCGCTCGTTACTTGCAACATTTGATTGCCATTTTTCGCATTAAATACAAATTAAGTCGTCTTTTGTAAACTTTGAGAAAATGGGGAACGGTTATTTTATTCTTCGTGGCATCGTCTTAAAGTCCTTTGCTGAGTAATTTGACTTTCCTGCCCCGGTGGCCAAAAGAGGTCGCAAGCTTATTCAAGGCAAAAAATCTGGAACCGTCCTTTGTGAACGTTTTCGACTAACGTTTACCATGTTATAGCATAAAGATAAAGGCGCATCGCGGTAACAAGCATATTCGTCTACACCCTAAAAATATCTAGGCGCTGGAAGGTGTACAGGACAAACCGCTTCAGCTAAATCCACTCGAAGACTCCTTTGGGCATGAAACATCCATAATAGGTTCAGAAGCCAAAGCCAAAGTTGTCAGCACGGTTTCGTCTCATCCCTTTCCTCCCTCTCCACCTCCGTGTTAGAAAAGTTACCTCTTCAGCTCGTAACCCCAGGTACTACATCATTTGTGCCAAAGCTCGTAAAGAACGCAGCCTTCTCGGCTCCAACAAACTCGTCAGAATGTTTTTATTATTTTTTATTGGCGTCTATACGTTTTTTTTTTGTTTTTTTGGGGGGGGTCGATTGGATTGTCGTTGCTACCAGGTCAGAACGCTTTGTTCACTTTCGCAGACATATAATGGCCCCTGAGATATAATCCGCCGAAACACACGAAAACACACACAGACACACAAAGAAGCGCTCAAGATTTTCCCTTTTCGTGTTTTGTTGCATGTTCTCTTTTTTTTCTCCCAAAAGCGTCTGATCAAGGAAATTTTATTACTCTGTGTGAAAATCGCGGTTCTTGCTTTCCACATTCTTCTAAAGAGTCAGGGGAGGCCCTTGACTCTTCTTCTTTAAGGAAACAAGGTACAATATATGTTTAAACATAATAATAAAAAAAAAATCTCCCGGATAGCCAGCCACACAAAAACGGCCAAAAACACATTGTAACAACAACTTAATGGAATGCAAACATCAATTTTTCAAATCACACAAGGTTTCGGAGAATGTCAGACTTCACATTTTTGAATGGCAGCTAGTAAAAGGTAAGATTGCTTTTGACGTAGTTCTGTCGTACTGCCAACACAAACTACACGGTGTTTTCAGTTGAATATCTAAAAACAGTAGGTAGACGCTTTTTTAGGTATTTCCACTGAAAACATGTAGTTCTCCACAGCACAAATGAAGCGCTCTAGCTACGCGGACAAAGAATGATTAATAGTAGACACCAAGACGTCCATATAGCGTCCTATAAAGACGTCATCAGGGTACATGTTCTGAATTAAGATATATAGTAGTATATCTGAAGAACCTAGGTAGATCTCAGAAAGAACAGGGGCTACTGCCAAATAAATACATACTTCTCGTTTCTAAATATAATTTTTATTATCGTACTTCACTACCATTGCCTGTAGGTATAATTCCAAACTTCGGAGAAAGTCCAACTCAGCAAATCCGGACTTTGACTGAAACTTTAAAAGATTGTGTTTTAAAAACTGACTAACACAATGAAGTAAAGTTTTAGGTTCAAGCGAGTGAAAGCGGCCCTTTATGTCCATCGTAAAATTAGAGCGAGGCTTCTCATGAAATGGTTGTAACTCTGCGGAAATTTCCCTGCAAAGTTCGGTGGGTACAAGCGTTGGTTTCTACACTGCTTGGTTTTGACGCTGGGAGGCAATAACTCCGGTAAGTCGCAAATATTGTATTGCTTAAAAACACGCAAGGGTGTCCGCGAAGGCCGTGAAGGGATAAGGCGGGGGGGGGGGGGGGCTGTTGCCTTGTCACTCATGCCGATGCCTTTTGATGCGGCCCCCCAGACAACTGTATTCCTCGACGGTTGTCTTAATAAACTTTTACTTCACTTGACTCGATAATATGAAGTAAACGCAAAACTATATTCAACACTCTCTGTGGTAGATAAATGTTTTCTATGATGAAAATCTGACATCCAAAAGAAATATCTAAACCTTAAAGAATATAAAGGTTGCTTGTCACATTTTTTGGCATTCCATATGATTGGCAGTGAGAAACCCATGAGAGACAAAGCCATGTAAAACTAGATGCTTTTGGCAGCATTACATGCTTTCACAGTAAGTCAGAGCGCAATCAAAAGCTAGACGACAGACAGAAGCAAGCACAAAACTAAACACGCAAGGCAACGGCACGCACTCAGCGCTAGATTGGTTTAGCCGGTGGTGATATACGCTCTGAAATACGAGGAAGGCGGTGACGTTGCTTTGCTGGCACTGCTTGATTGGCCTGATCGGCTCCTACCTTCGTCTATGCTCGTACTTATGAAGAACCAAGTCTTGTCTTGAAACAATCTTATTCATTCTTGACAAGGACGATGTATTCTACACTGCGCACTGACAAGTACACTCCAGCCATTCTTCTAGTCTATAAAAGTGAATAGAAGGATCATATTTTCTCAAAGTTCCTCCAAGAAGTCTACAACCCAAGATGAATATTCCAGCACTAACAGTTTTTGCAGTTGTGACAGGTGAGTTGTTTTCTCCAATTTGGAAGAGTAGTAAAGCGAGTAGGCTACCTTTACGTCATAAATACTTAGAATTTTTCAATTTATACCTTTAGAAAAAATATTATCACGCTTCTTCAACACAAAAGTGTGGCAATGTAGGTTTAAACGACTGAGTGACAAACAAGGGAGGGGGGGGGGGGGGTGGAGGAGGCAGAGGGCTGGCCCCGAGATCAGAGGCTGAACTATCGAGAAAAAGAGCCTGCCGACGAGAATATGGTGTCACTGTGACGGAAAATCCTTATTTCCCGCAATTTTATTATGCACTTTCATGCACCTCTCCTCCTTATTTATTTCTACCACCCACTCTGACTTTTCACCGGCTTGGTTATACCTTGACATATAGAATAGCACCAGGTTAAAGTTTTGTTTTCTAGCACAATCAAGACGATTTAGATGGCTCCTTGACCGCACGGTGATGAGCGGGAACGTCCTTACAACAGTTCAATATCTTGTCTCGGGGTGGAGCTCCTTGGTTTAGTTTTTTGTGCGGTTTTTTAGGGTAGTCATTCCATACTCTGAGCTCTAGTCGTACAGTGCTCTAGATTATCAGAATGAAGAACTCTAAAGCAAACAAAAAAAAAACTTTCTGAGTAGATAGAACCTTTTGTTTTATATAGTGCGCAAATTCGGAACATGCATGCTAACCACTTACCTTACCAGGCAAAATGACATTAAATCCAATACAATTACAAAACTTTATAATTTTGACTATGCGAACGGGTGATTTCATTGTTTTCTCGGTAAGCATGTGTGACGGTTGTAGTAGACAATAAAATTACCAGAGGTTCGCATTTGTTTCCTAAGGTATAGCAAAACACCTTGAGCTTGTTCCATCAATGACCACTTTCGAAGGAATAACTGAGGTGTACAAGGGGTGACAAGGCAAAAAGCTAATTTTGGCTTAAATTTTATGCCTGCTATGTGGTATTGAAAATGATGTGAGGACACTAATGGTAATGCTCGGAGCCTTATAAACCATACTCCATATTATTCGCAAAAGCTTTTAACAGTCTCGCGATTTGCCAACTTCTTATCGTAGAGTCTTTTACGTGTTTTGCGTCCCCGGTGATCTACGGAGTAGTAGATGCACAAGATTTGACTGAGATAGCATTTGCCTCCGTTTTTCTTGAGTAATATTTTACGTCGGTAGATTTGGGAGAGCGCCTTTAGAGCGCGCGGCACTAGAGCGCCGACGTTAGAGCGCGCGATTTGAGGGCGCTGCGACAGTAGCGCGCTTGACACGAGAGCGCATCTACATTTGGATGGAGCAGCGAGTCTAATATTTCTTCACTGTGCTGCGGTGCGCCTCTCGGATATATATACTATAAATAGTGCACTTTTTGCTATATTTGCTTTATTCTTGAGAGGCATTTGGGCTCCTATATATTTAGTGGTTATTTAGACGTCCCTCACATAATTTTGAATAGTATTGTGACGTCGATGACCGTAATGAAGAAAGCTCACCGCTTAAAAAACTCTCAGCAAAAAACTCATCGAAGCTAAGCTCAGCGCAATTTTATCGGATGCAGAGCTTTTCAGCCTTTTGACGTATACGGGAAAAACTCCCCTGCAAATCTGTGAAATATATTTGAGAATTTTTTTTCCAAAATCCTAATTCATTGCGTTGGGTGCGGTGACGACTCACCTTCTGTTGCTGATAGGACACAACCTTAAGATAATGCCCTTTCTGCATGTCTCAGAAAAGAGCCTACAAAGAAAAAAAGACTTGTCTATCGCGCTGTCCGTTCTTTCCATTCTACAGAATCATAGCTTCTCCATCTTTGTTCTTAAAATGTGGTCCTCTCTTTTAGGGCCGAATGAGAGTGATTTGATTTAGGAATATACGGATACCAAATATTTAAGAAATATATGAATATCGAAGAAAAAACGGCAGCACAAACAGAAATAAAAGTTCAAACAGAAAAGGTTTAGAAATGAATAGAGACCGAACATCTACACAATGATAGTGCCAGAGGTAGTAAATTTAAAGGATTGATTTAGGATTCGTAGGTCAGTTTTTTTTCTCACAAAAACATATCTAGAGACACAACCACTATGTCAAGATCTTTGGCGGCCAGATTCCGAGAAGCGCATAGGAAATGGTGCCTGCCGCACCGGTTGCTGTCAGTCTCGCCCCTGCGCTCTATCCCTCTGCTACGCTGACATCAACGCATATGTCAATTTCATTGTCGGCACAGGTTTCGGATTAAGAGTTTAGTACAATTGTCATTTGTGAAAATATGAATGGTTCGCTGATGACACTTGGCACGAGAGCTCCTTTCCCGAGATTGATCTTGAAAACCCCAGCATACGGTTAAGCATGTTAGATGTTGCTTCTTTCCTTCTGAACGTTTTAAAATAATTTAAAATGAAAATTAGGTCGGTGGTGAACTTTGTCAATTAAAATAAAAAAAGCAATGAAGCTAGGTCAGCTGCGATGTTTTTTTACTGCGGAAATGAATGCTACTGATATTATTTTTTTTTGCCTGTCAGCTTTTTGTAACACTTCTTGGTTTGTCACACGCAAACATTTTGTCGACTCATTCGTAATGTCCTCGCTGAGTTTTGAGGCATAAATACCCGCCTATTTCACATGAAGCACATAAAGTGGTCAGTCGGGTCGGGCCACTCGCGCTGGACTGGTTGTGCGCTCTATTAACGGGTGCTCTAATGATACGCGCGCTAACGTCGCAGCGCTCTCGTGTCGTCCGCTCTAACGTCGCGGCGCTCTCGTGTCGCGCGCGTTAACGTCGTGGCGCTCTAATGTCGGCGCCCTTGTGTTGTGCGCTCTAGTGTTGTACATGACATAGAAGATTACTTACCTTTTTTTGAAGTTTAATAAAAGTCCTGATTGGTAGGATATGATCACATGCATCCGCACAGAGAGGTTCAAAGTTTTAGATTTTTTGAGGATGATCAAGACAAGCTCCCATGTTTCAATTGCAACAAAGCTGTTCAAACATTTTCTTGTTACATTCTTTGTAGCCCTGCTGCCGATACTAAATTGCGCTCAAGCAGAAAACGCTACGGAAGCAGAAAACGCCGCGGAAGCGGAAAACGCTATGGAGGAAGAAGACCGATCTTGTGAGAAAAGAGACAAGGACGCCGAACAAGTGGGAGTATGTCTAATTATTATAACAATTGGCAGTAGGGATGTTGCGAACCACCCTAGGATCGAATTCGGAAGGTATAAATATTTTCGAGCCGAACTTAGTTTCGAATTTGAAAGATTTCGATATTTTCGAACCGTACCAAGGTTGGAAATCAAAAATTTCGAAATTTTAGAACACCGTGGAGCTTCGAATTTGACGAGTTCGAAGCTTTCACGGTTTGTAAAAGCTCGGGTCCAAATATTTCGGATATATGTTTTACTTGAGGTTCGGGAAATTCGAAGATTTTGAACTTTCCTAACTTGAAAATCGAAAGATTTGAAAATTTTGAGTTTTTTGGGATCGAAAGTTCGAGAATTCCAGATTTCTTTGAATCTGAAGTTCGAACAATAGAGGATTTCGAATTTTTTTTTGATCTGATGCTCGAAACATTTGAAAGTTTCGAATTTGTATAGACATAAAGTTCGTAAAATTTGAAGATTTCGGATTTCTTTCTACATAAAGTTTGAAGAGTTCGAAGGTTTTGATTTTCTTTTATGGCTAAATTCAAAAAAATCTTTGAAGATTTCGAATTTCTTTCAAGTTCCAGTTCTCAAAGTTTGAAGTCCGGGTTTCATGTTCCTCCACAGTTTGAATTTCAAACAACGTTTGCACGCTTCAGTGGTTTTGCACGAAATCAGGTTTAGAAAAGTTCGGGTGTGATATTTAGACTGCGCGAAGTTCGTCAGGCCATTAAATGAGACGATGAGTGTCCCGGGTGTGCTGCAATATTGGCCAGTGGAGATTGATACGTGACCATAGATCAGTAATTGCGACCCCCAGCCAAGGGGAATCTTTAACATGCATCACGCAGCAGTGATTGCACGAACGCACTGTTTTACAATACACATCCAGTTCGAAACGGCCAGGAATGGGCAGGTGGCTGAGGCTCACAAAACTTTGAAGCGATCTGACAAACTCCCGACCCCCTTGCACGCTGGAAGTAATCCGATCGAAAGCCACCCAAGTGACGCTGGCATATAGTAAGTTTAGTTTGCAATTGCTCCGAAAGTTTATTTTCCGGGACGAGGGAAACGCCGAGCAGAAAGCACAGAAGCCGGCAAAACTCGAGGTAGAGGAGCGTTCTACCATATCAGTGGCGTCGGAAGAGGAGGAACACGGAAAAAAGTGGGTAAAGAAAATAGGGGGGGGGGGGAAGTCGGGAGGTAGTTTATCAAAATATCTGGGGGGGGGGGGGCTCTAGCCCCCCCCCCCCAGATATTTTGGACTGTTAAAAAAAACTACTGGGAAAGAGGGCGTGGTCAATCTTATCTTAGTCGGAAATTTTTTTGCGCATATGCACAGCTACTGTCGCCCTTCACTTCATAAAATATCGCGTAGATGGTCATTGCCAGAAACTCGTTGTCAAAAAGTACTCCTCGCCGCATGCTTAGTGGTTCGGAAGTTTAAAGCTTTCTCTTTTCGACCTAGATAACTGTGCCATTGCTAAAACAATTAGACGTAACAATCAATACAGGGATGCAAAGCTGTAGAGAAAAAAAAACTATCAAGAACTCACCGAAAGCGTTGTATTCTTGCATATTCAGTGGCTCAGAAATTTGAAACAAGTTTTAGTACTACCAAAATGTTTACAGGCGCAAAGTAACACGTCCAAAAAACGTAAAGCAAAAAAAAAATTAAGATAACTTTTTTTTTAATGACGTGCTGAACTTGAACAATACTTGAAATCTTCCCCGATAACATAATTTATTCATCAACGTGAAAAAAAGAAATACAATATTTGATATTCTACTGACGGCAATGTTATGCATTATCTGTGGTGTTAATTTAAATGCGATACCTCGAAAAATATAGACGAAAAAAATTACGTATAGGGCCTAATTGCCCTTAGATTTATGTTTGGACATATCTTCGAAACTCATCGTGATAAATAATGATAGATTAAGGCAGCTCTTACCTAGGCTATACACAGATCATTCTTAAACCGTTTAACATCTCTACCGTAAATAGCTTCGGCTATAGCGCGCTTCAAATATGGCAACAACGACAATCGTCAAAAACCCGTTGTCCTTCCCCGCTCCTTCGGAAGTTTATTTCTTTAATAGTAAGTGTGCCGTAACCAGGCACGTAGCCAGAGGGGAGGCCAATGGGGCCCGGGCCCCCGTAATCTTCCATTTTCCTGGGACCTCTTCTCTCCACTCCCTCTGATAAAGCATTTTGCCGTGGGCGCCCCCCGCCCCCTCCCCGGGACAAAATCCTGGCTACGTGCCTGGCCGTAACATTGAAGTCAGCAGCATTGTCTTTCGCATGAAATGCGGCACCACATGTAAACATTCGAAAAAAAAGTACGAATGTACCTCATTGTCTTACTCCAAATGAAGCCGACCTCCGGTCTTTCGAAGTTTGACAAACTTCAAACTTTTACCCTGAAAGCTCGAAGTTCGTCGAATTTTTACCTTTTCAGCATTCTAATGTTCGAAAATGTTAGAATTTTATACATAAATAGGTTCGAAACTTCAAAAAATTATGAAATTTTTTAGCGTAGGAAAAATCGAAAGGTCGAAAACTTTCGAAAATTTCAGTGCAAAAAAGTCGAAAGTTCGACAATCATCGAATTTCTCAGTCTATCAAGGTCGAAAGTTCGGCAAGCATCGAATTTTGCAGCGTAATAAATTCGCAAGTTCGAAAAGCATCGAAGTTTTAGCGTAAAAAGTTCGAAAACATTGCCTTTCTGAACGTGTAAGGTTCGAAATTTCGAAAAGCGTCGAACTTTTTAGTTTAATAAGTTCTAAAGTTCAACTTCAGTCCAATTTTTTAAGCAGAAAATTCGAAAATCCGGAAGATATCGAACCTTTCTAGCCGCTTGATTTCATCATCGAAAATTTGGTTTGAAAAAAGTTTGCGGCATCCCTAATTTGCAGGTACCTTCATTTCCCAAGTCCTAAAACACATGGATTACAGTATCTAAGCTTTAGTGTTGCGGAATGAGCACCCCCCCCCCTTGCTTTCACCTCCATTCCAGAAAATTTTAATTTCTGATATTTAGATTCCTTTGAACTCAAACAATTTCAGGTGCTGCGTGAATTTTCATTTATTGAAGGGCTGAACCGCTCCATTTTATTTTGATAATTCGAAAACGTAAACGATGCTGTTAAGAACCATTCTTTGCGACAGGAAATAGAGCATAAAGATGCTATAAAACTATAAAAAACTGAAAAGCAATATGCAAAAGGCGTTTCCAAAACGCTGATTCTACTAATCTGAGCGGGGGTTGCATAGAGCCATTGGTGCAGCTGCAAAGAGATCACCTGCTCAACTTTAAAAGAATCGCAATCTAGAACTACAAATTGAAAGCACCCAAAACACTCACTTTATTTGCGAACAAGCCGTACGTGCTACACTTCTAGGAGATATCTACATGGCAAACATGTTTTTGTTATGGGGGTTTCAAAATATCTTGTTCATGCGTGGACAAGAAGCTGCTTTGACGTTTGCTTCGAACATCTGCACACCAGCACTAACCTGTGTGCTGTCAGAGGCGAAACAATGTGTACCTGCCCCAAATATCAATGCACTGCCCTAAAACACAAAATCGGCGACTAAGTGAAAGCGCTACGGTGCTAGCGCACAGGACTATAGGACTGTGTCGTGAAACCCGCTTTAAGACGAATCATTTTACGTTTGATGTAAAAACCTCGTTATTTGTTACCATGTTCTATTAGAGATTTCTTTTTTTTTTGAGCGCAGCTCTTAGGGGCCTGTTTGCAGCCTGAGCGGCGTCGGCGTCGGCGTAACCGGGGGCGGGGGGGGGGGGGGTCACGTGACCACGGGGGGGGGGGGGGGGAGGGGACCCCGAGGTCACGTGACCCCCCTCCCCCCCGAGGTCACGTGACCCCCCTCCCCCGAGATCACGTGACCCCCTGGGGTCATGTGACTACCCGCAGGTGACGTGACCCCCCTCAGTACCCTTCCCTACTCCTCCTCAAGAGCTGCGCTCCAATTCGGCATTACAGGGATTCGTAAACGGCTTTCATTTTTTATCAGACAAACACTAGGTCTTCTGATCTAAGGGCTACATGTTATCGTGGTTTTGTTCATTACCTTGTCGTTATCTGGGCATTATCTATTAATATTCTGGAAATTGATGATCTTCGGTGCTCATTATCCGGACATGAATTAGCATAATTTTCTGCGTGCTTGTCGGACGTATGTACTTAGTAGGCAATTCAAAATGACTCATAGCGTCCGTTGCTGTCCATAGTTAGGTATAATGGAGAATAGGCGCTTAGATTCAAGTTGCTCGACGGGGAATCAGCTATCTGCCCCACGTGATAAGGAAACATGAGCCACTTACGGAACTTTTGGCTCCGTGCGCTCCTCTGAACGAGAAGGCGAGCACACGAGAAAGACGGTCGGCGTGGCTTTGTCCCTGCAGGTGGCCTATGCCCGGTGCTCTAACCACGCATGGTCGCAACTGCAGATTTTTCCGCTCATCTTAATCCAAATGACGACCAGTTTAATCCAAGTGCCACCCCATTTAATCCTAAGGTCAGTCAATTGAATCCACAATATATATACGTACTGATTGTCTTGAGTGGTCGTGTTTTGCTTACACTTTTGGTAACTTGGAGTGATTGCTTATACAATTAGATTTTCTGGCAACAACTGATAATTTGATCACTATTATTATTACTTGGAGCTAATAGTCCCACCTTTGACGAGGCTTAATTGACCCCGTAAGTGATGACGTCACAACATGGCGTCTGGGTCCAAACAAACCGTTGCTAGGGGCTTTGCTATGGACTAATGCATAGAGGCTCCACACGAGGCTAGATTTTCGCTTATAAGTAAGTAAAATATTTTTTGCAAGCAACCTAACTTCTTGATATCTAATTATGAAGATGTTCTTGTCATCTCAGCGTCGTAATGCAACGATGAAAGCCATTTCTGAAGTATTCCACTCCGCTTTGCTTTGGTAGCAGACGACACGATAGATTTCCTGGCCTCTG